GGGGGGGGGCATGCCTCTCCCTGCAAAGGAAGCTGAGGTATTCCCCTCACCTGGGGCCAGCCATGCCCAGCCCCCTGGTGGAGGGGCCTGCTGATTACACTGTCAGCATCCTCACCCCTAGCAGCAGTTACACCATTTGCTCTCCTAGTGAGCCAGAGCCTGAAGCAGTAAAGGGGTGTGTGCCCCTGTGCAGCCCTGGGACCTGGCCTCTTGGCTCGGATGACCTGAGCTGCTTTCATTCCATGCCTGCTGCAGAGATTGCAGCAGGGCCTCCCGAGAACCTGGGTCCTGTGCACAAGTTCCCTTCCCTTTGGGCCCCCTTCCTGGGCTAAGCGCCCTTGGACTCTGTGGGCCCAGTGAAAAGCAGGAGAGGCGCTGTCCTCCCCGTCTGTCTCCCAGCCTCTGCCCTCCACAGCCGTCTCAAAAGCATGTAACCCGGTTATCTTCATCCCCTCACCTAGTCCAGACCTTTTTCTTCCAGGGGTGTTTCCAGCTTGAGAGTGGGCCGCTATCCAAGGTAACTGCTGGAGGGACGGCTGCAGGCCGAGTATATGAAGGAGGCCCATGCCTACAGCTTGTGGCCTGAAAGAATCTTCTCTGGGTGTTCAGTGCACGCTCTGCGTGGTACTCGCGGTAACACTGCTTTGCCAGCCATGGCGAAGCCCGGGTTGGTAGAGGGGCAGTTGGCTTCCTTGAACAGGCTGCACAGGGAAGCCAAGATAGAGAGTCCTGCCCGAGGGAGGGAGGGTTGGGGGTACACTCAAGTTTACATTCAGTGAAATCCCAGGAAAAAGAAACAAGGTGGCAGCAGCTTTACTCCTCACTCCACTGTGAGGAGTACCAGAGGATTTCTTTTGGGTCACGGTCTTGGAGGTTTCAGTTCATGATGGATCAGCCCTGCTCACCCGGCCTCTGATGAGCGCAGGGTGCCACGTCATGGCAGGCACTCAGCATGGCAGAACCATCCACCTAATGCCGAATGACAGGGAGAAAGACTAGGGCCCTTGGTTCTCTTTGAGGGCACACCCCAATGACCTAAAACCCCTAGGCCCCGCCTCCTAATAGAGCCAGGGTCAGGGGGCCTCTGGGCACTTTCCACATTCAGACTCTAGCAGATGTAACTCCAAATCCTCTCAAGATAGCTACCATGCTTTGAGATGCCTGTCTTGGCGGTAGGGCTACTGTCAAGGCTCTCGGTGAGGGGGATGAGGATCAAGCTGTGTATCTGAGTCTGAGATAGCAGTCCTTAAAGCACAAAATCGACTTGAACAAGGCTCCAGGCCCTGCTGGGAGAAGAGACCACCAGCTGTACAACCCCTGGGGCCGTAGAAGCCCCACAGCTGCAGATCTGGGTGTCTGCTCTGCTGCATCCTCTCTCACTTGTAGTTCCTATCACAGCAGAGCTCAGCTAGGGGCCTTATCAACCCCATTTCCTAGATTCAGGATTCACACCTGGCTTGATTTGGGTCCAAATCTTATCCTCCTAAGCCACAGTACTTAAGGGCAAGTGCTCATTGGAAGGCAGTTCCCAACTGCTCTTACTAGCCTGAGGAGGGGAGCGATTGCTCAAGGAAAAACCCAGCCTCTCCTGTGGCCTAGAGCTGAACTGAGGGAGACAGAAGTCACAGTAGAATACTGTTGCTAGGGTCTGCAGCCACTAATAATTGTAGGGAACCTCGTTGGTCTCACGTACCCCAGAGAGAAACAACTGTAGGTAGGAGAAAAAAATAAAGAGCTGGATCAGGTGGAGATACCTCTTAACTGATGGGAAGAGGACTGACTTCAACAGTAGGGGCGTTTATTTTATACTCCTGCAAAGTTAGTATGGGGAGAGGTAATGTTGCCTAGCAACTAACAACTAATTGTTCAGGCAGGATGCTTTTTTCAATACTGAGGTAGCTTGACTGCTTGAGGCACTCTGGCTCTGCCCTCACACATATGACCAGTAACCAGCTCCAGCAGCTCCCAACAGATTATTCTTGTCTGATACAGAAATTAATCCAACTACTCAGTTGAGTTTTCCAGATACATAGAGCTTGCACCTTTACAGTGTGAAACTTACGCCAGGTCAGTGTCTCATACCTGTGTTCCCAGCTTCTTGGGAGGCTAAGTCTAGAGGATAGTGAGTTTGAGTCCATCCTGAGGAACTTAGTGAGAGCCTGTCTCAAAATAAAAAGGTCTGGGGATAGAACTCAGCAGTATGGCACTTGCCTGTTGTGTGCAAGACCTTGGCTTAATCCCCAGCACCACTGTAAAACTTCAGAAAAGTGTTCCTTTCTGGAGGAAATCATTCTATAATTTTACACTAATCTTCAGATCTGCAATAGAATATAAAATTTTCTAAGCAGCTGAGGATAATTCACAGAAACGAATGGCTTCTCTGAAGCAAAGTCTGTCATGAGAAACTAACTGTTGGGAGTGCTGCTTGTCCATATGCTAAATAACCTTAGACCAGTGATGGTGAACCTTTGATGGTGAACCTTTTAGAGTGCTTGATACAAACAGCCTGCTGTGGCACGTGTGCCATAGGTTCACCACCACTGCCTTAGACCATGATCGTAGGCCCTGTTTAAATGCTTCTTTGGGGGCTGGGAGGATGCTGGGGTTTTAGCTCAGTGGTGAGGCACACGCTTAGCACAAGGTCCTTCATTGGATCTTCACCACTGAGAAGGAAGAATGGTTGCCTGCCCTGCTACTAGACTATAAGAATGACTTGCTGCTCTAAATGTGCTTCTGATCTGTTACTACAGGCACACACATGGACACAATAAAATTGTGAATAAAATGAACTTTACAATTTCCTCTCTCATAGGAGCTTTTGGCTTAGTCTGCCTGCTCTTCTTTTTCTAGATGTTTGAAGTTCACCATTAAGTTGTTTATTTATGCTTGCTCTGTTTTATAAAATGAGAATAAGTAGGCTGTGATTAAGGATTGCAGATTGTACCTAATGAGCAAGTGCATGAGTGTTTTAGCTACTGAGGAGGCCTTTCTGCTCTCACTAGACTAGATTCTGCCCTGCGGTCCTCTTGCAGATAAGGTGCAGTATCAGTGTACATTATCCCCAGGATTACTACTTGCCTCTCCCATTGGAAAGGTCCTGTGAGGACAGCAAAATAGATTGTTTCCCAAAAAAGACAGTATGTGAGACAAGCACATAGTGCAGAAATGAAAAACAAACTGGCCTTGGAAGGGTCTGGCTGGGAGTTTTGGTGACCTACACATAATCACTTTAGGAGCAAGGCACCCACCTACTACCCTGAGCCTTAGAGGCATGAAAAGGAAATAACGCAGAAATATGCCTGGCACAGTACCTGGCAAAAAGGGGTGAAGGGAAATCAGTGTGTTTGGTACTTGAGGGTGTCTAGGAGGAGGAAGAGAGTGGCACCCTCAGCCGGACGTGCTGGCCCACACCTGTGAGCCCAGTACTCCAGGCGACCTGCCAGAGGCTCACAAGTTTGAGCCCAGCCCGGGCAACTTAGCAATTTAAAAAGGGGCCTGGGGGTTCAGCTCAGTGCGAAGGCTCTGGATTCAATTCCGAGCATTGCAAAAATAAAAGAGTGGGAGCTCGGGGACAAAGGGAAGTGGGCAGAAAAGGGGCATAAGGAGCTGCCTCCCTAGACACCCTCACTGTAAGCCTGCTTCGCCTCTCCCGTTCTGCTCTGACGCTGGTTGGGTGGGCCTAGTAGAGGGAGGTGAAGGTGTCCCCACAGAGGTTTGTACCTTCCAGGTCCTAAGGGCAAACGAAGCTGCCCCAACAAAGCAGCTTCCTTAGAGCCCCCTGCCGAGGACCAGGTTGGGTAATGGGTACTTTGTGGCTCTTGACGCAGAGGAAGGATGGAGGAGTGGTGGGGTGGCTGTCCGGCTCTCGGGCTAGTCCTCTTTGTCTTTCAGATGAGCTTTTAGTCTTTGCGCCGCCATCCCTGTTTTTAGCCACTGAGCACCCACTTTGGGGTGGATGCTGGGGTAGGGCGATAGAAGCAGAGATAAGTGAGGCATAGTGCTGGCTCCCTAAGAAAAAGACTGTGCTCCCCCCCCCCCGGGACTCTGCCTCCTGCCACCCTTAGCTTCCTTGGCCATGCAGCCCCTCACAGCCCACTCTGAGCGCCAGTCTCGTCCGCCCCTCTGACTTTGTTCTGTCCTACCTCAGCCAGGCTCTGCAACGAGAGTATTCCCAGAGGAAAGTGACACAAAGAAAAGGGAGGGGGGCAGAAGGAGGGAATCCCGCTGACATCACTGCTCATTAGCATATGTGACCTCATCAGGGGGCGGGACAGTTCCCCAGGTGTCTGCGGGGAGGGCAGATGAGGGGTGGTATTTAAAGGGAAAAGCTGCCAGTGCTGCCAGTGAGGGAGCGGGTGCTGCGAGCTGCTGGGCTGCGCTCACACACGCACACAGATGCACACAGACCCCGACACCGACATGGACACGGACACAGAAACCACAGCACTTTGTCCGTCCGGCAGCCGCCAGGCCTCCCCACCAGGGACACCCACACCAGGTGAGAGCTAACCTGAGCAGGTTCCAGATGAAACCATAGGAGTGAGAGCTGAAGCTTTGGTGGGAAGATCAGAACTAGGGGTTCCATCAGCAAGAGAGGAAAAGCCGGTCAGGAAGTGGAGAAGAGCTGCTCCCTCGCACCGCACCGGGGCTGGGCTGTGGTGGAGGGGAGAAGAGCTGCCCAGTGCCCCTCCCCCATCACGCCAGGGCTTTGCTTGAGAAACTGATACATGGCCCCTAGGTCAGCCTACTCCTAACAGGCTGGGATAGACAGGAGGGAAGCGGGGAAGGAAGGGGCAGCCCACAAGCCCGGGAATCGTGGGTGGGGGCTGCCCAAGGGACCTGTTGTAAGGGTTTCTTCTGGCTCCTGGAGGCCCTGGCTGTTGGCCAAATATTGATCCTGGGCTATTTCCAGCCTCTCTCCACCCCCCTTTGTTGTGTCTGTTGTTCCTCCTCTGGTTACCCTGACCATGCATTGTCACCCTCCCCTTGGCACACACACCCGCGTGCACGCGTGCGCGCACACACACACACAGAGTCTCTCTCCACCTCTACCTCTCCACCAACACAATATTCTGTGCCATTCACAGGGACATCCAGAGATGCAGAAAGATTCTCACACACAACCATGTGCTGGTGGAAGCAGCCTCTCACACACTCCTCCACCTACGAAGAACAACACACACATCATCTTACAGACTGCTGGAACAGGCTCCCCACAAAGTTTTTGAGGCTGCCAGTACCTCCTCTCCAGAACCTGAGCTGCAGCTTCAGCTTCTCATGCCTTGTGCCCCTCCTCAGCCTGGGGATTGCCAGTGCAAAAGCAGGAGGAGGCAGGGCCGCAGGTGAAAGGAGGGACAGCCTCCCCCAGCCCCCAGGGCTGGACCTAGCCTGGGCTGTGTCAGTGTCAGTGTCAGTGTGAGTGGGCTGTGAGCCTGCCCACAGGTACCTTCCCTGCTCGGGGCATGCTTTGAGCAGGTTACAGCCAGGAGCACAATGGAGAAGGCATTATGTCAGCTGCTTGGAAGCTCATGGTGCAGGTTTCTGGGGGACTTCAGTGGAAGAGGCTGGGCCAAAGATTGTTTCTTCTAGGTCATGGTTAGGAGGGTGTGGCTGGACCTGTGACACTGGAGCAGCCTGGCCTGAGCCCTCTCCAGACGGCTGGGCACATCCCACTCATGGCTTCCTTTTCTTTGCTCTCTAGAAGCAGATGCCATACTTCTGAAGAAGCCAGAGAAACTCTTTGCAGGGCTGGACCGAAGCGGGCCACCCCCTGTCCCTGGAGCCCCCCGACGAAGAGGCAGTATGCCTCTCCCCTACAAGCACCAACTGCGGCGGGCTCAGGCTGTAGATGAACTTGACTGGCCTCCTCAGGCCTCATCCTCTGGCTCTTCCGATTCCTTGGGCTCAGGAGAGGCAGCCCCTCCCCAAAAGGATGGCGTCTTCAAGGTCATGCTGGTGGGGGAGAGCGGTGTAGGCAAGAGCACCCTAGCAGGCACTTTTGGCGGTCTCCAGGGAGAGAGTGCACACGAACTAGAGGATGCAGGTATTTGGGGAAGCCCTGAGGGGCTGAGTGGACTCGGGCTGAGGTGCTTGTGGCATGAGCAGCCCCTGGAGAACAGAAGCAAAGAGAAGCCTCTCCACTGCTTTCTGCAGCAGCCTCCCTGGAGGGGGTTCCCTGGTGCTGGGATCTGAGGTGTTCCTTGCTACCGGGTCTCATGAGTGTTGGGAAACATCCTAATGGGCTTTCTTCCCTCTGTTTCCCAACAGAAGACACCTATGAGAGACGCATCACGGTGGATAAAGAGGAAGTGACTTTAGTTGTTTATGACATCTGGGAACAGGTGAGGACTAAGATGTGGCTGCAGATGGTGATGAGGCTGGGAGACCCGGGGAAGGGCAGTCTGGCCGAAGACCGGCAGGACTCCAGGCCTGGTCTCCACACATACTGGGACCTGACCTTTCTTTGCACCATCTGTGAGCGCAAAGGGCCATACCAACATGTAGTCACATGGCCCATGGCCCAAAGAGCTACTTTCTCCGGGATCTTCTGCCCCAGGGGGAAGGCAGGATCTAAATTTGACAAGCCCTGTGGCTTCAAACCAGGGCAGACAGCCTCCATCCACAAATTCTTCTGGAAGTGTCTGTGTGAGGAGCGCTCAGAGCTCTGGAGAAAGCAGGAAGGGGAACGAGTGAGGACTTCTGCAGGTTTGCACATAAGGTCACTATGGCAGCTTTTTCTGAATGAAGAGCTTAAGCATGGGCCGGCTAATCTAGTCTAGGGTCCTATGTCCCCAAGCCCCCCACGGCCTCACAAGGGCTCACCTTAACTTCTACCTGCACAGACACCGCGTATGGAGATTCCGCCATAAACTAACTCTGCTGTCCTAAGCAGGAGGTGCCTCTCTCACAGCTGGATTCTTCATCTTTGAGGTGCAGCGCTAGGCAAGGGGCTCCTTATTCCTTTAGGCCTAACATCCCGCGGCTCTCTGCTCATCTGCAGGGGGACGCAGGGGGGTGGCTGCGGGACCACTGCCTTCAGACGGGGGACGCCTTTCTCATCGTCTTCTCAGTCACCGATCGACGAAGCTTCTCCAAAGTTCCAGAGACCTTACTTCGGCTCCGGGCTGGGAGGCCCCATCACGACCTACCTGTCATTCTCGTGGGAAACAAGAGCGACCTGGCCCGCTCCCGGGAGGTGTCATTGGAAGGTGTGTATCCCCAGCAGACTCCATACTTGCAATCTCCAGGGCGCTCTCTCTCCTTAAAGTCACCCTCCTTCACAGGTGCACAAACCTACTTGCACTTAGCTCCCAGGCTTAGGGCCAGGGTCCCAATACCCCACACCTAGGGCCCTGGGGATCCTTTCTCGCTCACCCTCACCTCTCCTCCAAGGCCCCTTACACCTCCACCTTGCACGTCCACCGCCCACCGTAGGATCCCTTCTTGCTCCGACTCCCAGCCCTTTCCACCGCGCTCGGGACCGGCACGTCCCCACCCTGAGCCGCTCCCTTCCTGCAGAAGGCCGCCACTTGGCCGGGACGCTGAGCTGCAAGCACATCGAGACATCTGCCGCGCTGCACCACAACACGCGGGAGCTCTTCGAGGGCGCGGTGCGCCAGATCCGGCTTCGGCGGGGCCCGGGCCGCGGCGGGGCCTCGCAGCTAGAGTCGGGCAGCCCGGAGGGCCCCACGCCGCCCGGGCGCCGCGAGAGCCTCACTAAGAAGGCCAAGCGCTTCCTCGCCAACCTGGTGCCGCGCAACGCCAAGTTCTTCAAACAGCGCTCCAGGTCGTGTCATGACCTCTCTGTGCTCTGAGCCGCGGTCGCCATGGCCACTGCGGTCGCCATGGCCACCCTTCCCTGCTCGCCCCCCTCGCCCCGCCCCGTCCGGCCTCTTTTGTGGAGGCCGTCTAGGAAACCAAAAACTCCCAGGATCCTCTGGGTCGGGGGGCGGGGCCGCACCCCACCGCCCAGCGCTTAGTTGCCCGCCACCGGGCGCGTGCGTGTGGAAGGGGCGGACGCAGGTTTCGCGCGGGTGGTGGTCGGGTCAGGAAGGAACATAGTCCTGAAAGGTAATTTTGTTTTTTCTTAATGCTTGGGCACTTCTGTAAAGAAATTCTAAAAACGGTAGCTGGAAAAGTGGTTTGTAGACTCCTGGACGGAGAGGACTTCGTTCTACTCCGAACCTGTCTCGCCTTTAAGATAGTCTTAAAGGTAAGGTGACGGAGACCCTGCTTCGAGAGACTTAACCTCCCACGCCGGTCCACTTTGCCCTTAAGTGCTGAAAAGGAAGGGGCTGGAAGTGCTGCTCTTGAGGTTGGATTCTGTGATTTACTGTCCCACGGTGGCACTTCCCCTTTAAGGTATTAAAGGTAAAGTGTGGACAGACTTTCTGCCTTTAAATGCCGGAAGGAAGAGCAGAGCAGTGGCGATCCCTGGGCCAGGGCCCGGGAGGCACCAGCAAGGGACCACCCCTTCCCTTTTCAATAAATAATTTTTCTATTTCATCTGTTCACCTTGACTTTTTGTCCTTGGAGTCCCAGGGTAGGGATGGATGTGGATAGACACTGTCCCAAGTGAGAAAGGTCAGAGGGCCCAGAGGAGCAAGGAACCTAATCTGTAGGGAGGCGCTGGAACTTTGTCTGGGGTGATAGTTACAGCGGTCCGAAGATCTTACAGATAATCGGGACACGTTGTGCATTTACATATGACAAAATAGGCTTGGAGAGAAACAGGCCTGGTAGAAGTCATTTCGCAGCTCTGGTGCCAAGGCCTTACCCCACCCGGAGGCTCCCAGCCTCCCAGAACTGTTCAGCTTTGACTTGGACTGGTTCTCTCTGGGGCCCATATCCACCGGGGAAGCCCATTAGCTGGGGCATCGTGCAGTCTATTAGCACCTCTGCTGGCAGGGCCCCATAGTCCCAGCTGTCACCTGCAGAGCCCGTGTGAGCACTGAAGCTGTCACTACCTCCCCTGGGGACGCCCACGCCTGCTGCTGCCTGAGCCCTGAGTTTGAACAAAGGGAGCAGAGGCAGCAGCTCTCCTCACCCCTAGACAGCCAGTGCAGCTACCTGAGTGCCTCAGGGCCGGGCTCCCCTCACCCCCCAGAACTTGGTGGGGAGAAGGAAGCCAAGACTCCTGAGTCCTTGTAGCAGAAGAAGAGCCCAGGAGGGCAGTCAGCAGGGTGATAATGAGGTGATCTGAATAGTGGCCCTGTCCCTGGATGAAACCATTTAGTAGCTTGCCTGAGGTCACCCAGGAAGCCACAAAGCTGGGACTGATTTCACTTGTCTGGTTGACATTATTTTTTCTTTTTTTTTTTTTTTTTTTGCACCGGGAATCGAACTCATGACCTCAGGCTTGCCAGGCAAAAGTTTATGCCACTGAGCTATATCCCCGGCCTAATATTGGTGTTTTGTTTTTTTTTTTTTTGGTGGTACCAGGAATGGAATTCAGGACCTTGTTGTGCTTGCCAGGCAGGAGCTTATACCACTGAGCTATATCCTTGGCTTCTGGTTGACATTTAATGGTGATTTTAACTAGCCTTGCATCTAGATTCCCCTTCCAATGGGGATTGGGGGAAGAAACGGGAGGCGAGCAGAAGAGCTGCGGGGACACAGTGGGCGGGGCCATGTGCCCCTGACTCTGGTGAAAGGGCTGGGGAAGTTACGTGGCCGTAGTGGAGTAAGCAAGCTGGAAACTCTGGGGAACATGACAAGAGCCAAGGAAGGCAGTTCAAATTTTACAGTGCAGGAAAGCGGGCCAAGGAGGGACCAGATGGCTGTACAGTTGGGTTGAAACCTCAGGGACATGAAGAGGAGGAGTAGGAGATAAGCATGGAAAAGAAAGTTTGCAGCCCTACTACAGGGGACCTTCAGCGTCTGGCAAAGGAGCTTGCGCCGGCTCTGACGGCAGTGAGTCAGTGAAGGGCGGTGGAAGTACCGTGATCGGGAGGGTCCCGGGAGGAGAGGGCTGCGACGGTGTGCGTGGAGTGGAGCTGCAGAGGAAAGGCCTGTGGAGCTGAGCTCGGCCAGTGACTGTGCTACTTGTGGAGAGTGACAAAGGACTATCTGGGGGGGATGACTGGAAAAAGAAAGGAGGCACAGGTTTAAGAGTCAGCACTGATGGGACCTGGCAAATGAGTAGGGGAGTGCCAGGCGTGGTGGCGCATGCCTGTAATCCCAGCACGCCGGAGGCTGAGGCAGGAGGATCGTTGTGAGTTCGAGGCCAGCCTGGGCTACAAAGTGAGCTCAAGGCCAGCCTGAACTGCATAGTGATGCCCTGTCTCAAAAAGAGAAACAAAACAAAAGAGTAGAAGAGTGAAAGGAGGGACACTGGCTGGGTGTGGTGGTGCACACCTGTAATCTCAGCCCTCTGGGAAGCTGAGGCAGGAAGATTGCAAACTCAAGCCCAGCTTGGGCAATTTGGCAAATTTCTCAGAATACAAAAGGGCTGGTGATATAATTCAGTGCAAAGGCTCTGGATTCAGTCCCCAGTAATGCACATTAAAAGAAAGGAAAGAGTATTGCAGGTGGTAAGGGTAGGTAAGGAACCTCCCTAGGGAGAGTTTAAGCAGCACCCTGGACAGTTGAGTCAGAAATTGGGAACTAGGGCTGGGAATGTAGCTCAGCAGTGGAGCTCTTGCCTCACATGTGCAAAACACCAGCACCAAGGAGAAAAAAAATTAGCGTCTGAAATTGTCCAACAAGTTGGACAAGACACACAGACATGGGCATAATCACCAAGTTGTTAGTGATTGAGCCACCAGGAGGATGAGCTACAGGGCCAGGTGTACGGATGTGTGACCTCTGCAGTCACACAGGGCCTGTCTTCAGTTTAATGCTGAAATGTTTGAAGAAGGATTTCTGAGCTGGGTGTGGTGGTGCATGCCTGTTACCCCAGCTTCTTGGGAGGCTGAAGCAGGAGGATGGCAAGTTCAAAATCAGTCTGGGCTACTTAGTAAGATCCTGTCTCAAAATTGTAAAAAGCAGGGAGGGCTGGAAATGCAGCTGAGAACTCCTCGCTTTTAATGCCTAGTACACACACACACACACACACACACACACACACACAACACAAAAAGGAGCCATGCATTTCATTTTGTGTGGGGACCCACAATTTGTACTAAAGGAGATAGGGTAAAAGTACAGTACAGTACAGAGATCTTAGCCCCAGACCATAGGTGGGAAGTTCAGTTCTTTGTGACAATGTCTCACTCTATAGTACAAGCTGAGATTGAACTCACTATATAGCCCATGATGGCCTGGCCTTGAATTTGCTAGCTTCCTTCCTCAGCCTCCCAAGAGCTGGGATTACAGGCTTGCACCACCACACCCAGCCTGGGGTCTGTGATTCTTGGGAAATGTCATCTACAATCTGGTGTGTTTATACAGTTATGCATTTATCTAAGAATAGGGTTCACAAATTTCGTTACAGTCACAGAAGTATCTGTGGCCCAACAAATCACAAACCATTGACAATACAATTGCTCCCAGAAAGGGATCTGGGTAGGTAGATGACAGAGAGGGAGATTTATTTGTCATTGGATGCCCTTTCTCTATCTTTTGAATTTTCTGCTGTGGAATTTATCACTTGTTTAAAAACAAAGTAATTTTTTTTTTTTTTCGTCTTTTTGAGACAGGGTCTCGCTATGTGGCCCAGGCTGGCCTTAAATTCATTTATCCTCCTGCATCAGCTTCCCAAGTGCTGGGATTACACGTATGCGCTACCATGCCTGGCAAATGAAGTAATTTAAAACACTCTATTTCAGACAAAGAATGACCAAGGAGAGCCCTGGGACAAACAGATGAAGGTGGAGAAGTAGCCAGGGAAGCGGGAGTGGAGGGTCTAGGACTGAGCATATCGTGGCTACTAATACAGGGGGCAGGTTTCCAGCAGGGTTTCACCGAGACTCACATGTGGGAAGAGAGTGGCGTGAGGAACAGGAAGGGCCCAGTGCCTTTCATGTGGCAGAAGCTTAAAACGTGTGCTGTCTGTTGAAGCTGAGGCAGGACCTCCCCCATGAGGGGAGCCGCACACCACAAGCCACCCTCCCCCACCCCACCCAGTCCCCTCAGCCCACCCATCTGTGTGTTCCCTTCAGACGCCTACGGGGAAGAGCTCGGAACAGACGGAAGCCGAAGCCAGGCTCCTGCCAGACTTGGGAGGGTGATTCTTCTCCGAGAGCCAGGCCACTCTTCACCTTCTCTGTGGCCACGGCAAAGGAGAGCCTCTGAGCCAGGCTGTGGCGAGAGGCCAGCGACAGGCCCTGGAGCCTGAGCTGCTGTGCCGGGTGAGGTACGCTTGGCTGCTCCTCACCAGCGCAGCTGTGGCCCAGGGTCTGTGCTCCCTTCCCAACTCCCTTTTACCCACAGGGCCCCCTTGCTTTGTCTGCACTAAGGATTTAACCCAGGGCTTTGGTGCCGAGCTGCATCCCGGTCCTTTTTTCTTTTTTTCTGTTCTTTTTTTTTTTGAGACAGGGTCTCACGATGCAGTTCGGCTTGGCCTTGAACTCACTGTGTAGCCCAGGCTGGTCTCGAACTCACAGCAATCCTCCTACCTCGGCCTCTCTAGAGCTGGGATTACAGGCGTGCGCCACCACTCCCCACTTCCTTTTTTAATTTTAAGGCAGGATCTTGCTAAATCACTAAATTGCCCAGACTAGGTGTGAACTAGGGATCCTCCTGCCTCAGCTGCCCAGAGTGTTGGGATTACAGGTGTGCACCACCACACCTGGCAAGGCCTCCTCATTTCCAGAGTGTGGAGTACAGACTGTGCTCTCAGAGGAGGGGCCGGAGGAGAAGGCAGCCTGGTGCAGGATGGTGTCCCACAGCGCTAGGCTCTGCTGCCATTGTACCTTTAGGCCCTGCTGCATCTAACCTTCCACAGAGACCAGGGCAGGGATTTTCTTCTCTGCACGGGCGCGGGCATCATGGGCCGCAGTCCTTCTCACTCCCAGGAAGTCCACACACAGCTCTTTATTACCCTGACAGAGTTCAGTCCACACCAATATTGAGCAGGTTTGTTATGAACATTCTATCTTCCACCCACGAAGGCTTAAAGACTTCTCTACTCAAGTACTAAATGTACACAGTATGCAAGCACTGTGCTGGGCCCTAAGGAGAAAACAAATACTTACCCAACATTGTTCCCGCCCCTCACGTAGGTCACACTGCAGCTGGAGAGAGGGACACAGTGGCAACGAGGCTCACACAGGTAAAACTGGCACAGCAGGCCGTGTGCTGACCAACTGGGCCCTGTCAGGTGCTCTAGAAATGCTGACTGGAAGAAACATATCTGGAAGATTTACATCGTAGGAACTGAACCTGGAAGCATATGCAGGCCATAGACAGATGTGAGAAAGCAGGGACGCAGTCCTCACAGTGAAACTGCAGGGGAGCGAACACATGAAAGGGAGCTGGCGGGAGCCTCCATGGTGAGGAAGAGGCCCTCCTGCCAGAACAGCAAAGCCAGGTTAGCTCGGGGCCTGCAAACGGGCAAGCGCGTC